GGTGCTTAACTTTTTTCCAGGTGTATATTTCTAAAACAAGAATGTTGCTCTACCATCTTATTTTATGGTAAGTTTATATGAAAATTGATCTACTAACTTATTTTGTGGTACGTTTACTTGAATAATGTTGCGCTACTAAGTTATTTTATGGTAAGTTTACTTGAATAATGTTATTCTACTAACTTATTTTATGGTAAGTTTACTTGAAAATTGAGGTAATTGCGGTTATTTGTTTACAATCCAAAATGGCTTTTGAATGTTTTAATCCATAATGTTGTATATCACTCGAACAGACGATGATGTTAAAAGGTCAGTTGTTTCGCTAATCGTCAGGAACTCGAAGATTCTCGAATAAAAATATCAAAGATCAAAACAAAAGACCTGTAGAGGAAGCGGAAATGACGACCGCGGAACAAATGCCGGTTTCACCTGTTTTCACGAAACCTATAAAAATAAAACGCCATACCTGTTTTACATTACAGTTTCAATTTTCGCAAATGTCTATAGGCATTTAAAATTATGACGAGAACCAAAATCAATTAGATCATAGTTCCACTTACTGTTGGAGAAAAAAAAAGTACAACTGAGGAACTGTTCAGACGCAAAAACGCAGAAGCATCATTTCGGAAAAGGCTTGGGGGTGGGGAGAAGAAGACTGACCTATTGTGCCCCCCCCCCCCCGATTAAGCTTGAGACCCCACGCTATGGCGTAATTTACGTATATATGTGTTCAACCAGCTTGACTAGAAATGTTTCAAAGAAACTGCATGCGAGTCTCCCCCCTTCCCACCAATGGCGTCCTTACATAGTTCTTCATTTCCGTTTCGTTTAGATTGAATTTCAATTCTTTTAATATCCCTGAACTTAAAATTTACTTTTCTGCGGTAAATAAAAGTAGATATACGGATATGTTTAAAGAATGGGTCAAGGATGACCATAACATTTTGTTTAATTGTTGCTTGGTATTGACAAGAGTAAGTTAGTAAGTTAACTCACCTAACTCAATCCGAATTTTCAGAATGAAACTTATAATTCTTAATGTGTCTAATGGTGAATTTAGTTGCTTTGTAACAGCTAATTTTTAAGATATATCAAATTTAACTATGCATAGGTTTTTCTCGGTAATCACCTTGCAGTTTGTGTAGCAACGACATTTTCATATATATATATGTAGCAGATTAACTGATACTTGATTTCCTATATGTTTATTGTCTTCGCTCCAGTAAATATCTCAGTTTTTCAAACTGGCAGTGACCTGAAGTGTCGCTAGGTGCTCAAAAGATTTGGGGCCCTATCCCGTAGGCGCAGTAATTTTCGGCGTTTCAGTATGATATAGATCATGGTTTTTCTATTCTGATTTTTCAAGACACCAACTGGGATTCATGGCACTGTTAAATAGAATCGGGGCACAGGCCTCGTGTACCAGCACTTAGCGACGCCTCTGACACTGACAAACAGAATTGGGCAAAATTGTCAACTTAGTTTCACTAGTGAGCCAAGTATACTCACTACTTTATCACCAGCCTTCACACGCAATTTATAATAACGTTTTGTGCTTTGCTTATTTACAGAAAAACGTTAAAATAAGCGATCTCTGAACTCATTCCACATAACATTTCTTGCGATAGAGATTCAAAAGGCCCCCTGTGGCTAAGCGGTAGGCTTGAAGGCTTATCACGCTGAAAATTGGATTTCGATAACCGAAGTGGGCATAGATAGCCCAGTGCTTAACAAAAAACAGACAAGAGATACAAAATAAAATGTACATATTACGTGTAAGCACACGTATCAATAATTTATTTGTTGAAAAGTTCAAAAATACGCAATGAGCTATCTTTGCTATATCCATCAGGGGTATCGAAATCCTATTTTTGCGTTATTAGCCCTCAGACTTACAACGGAGTCTTCGGGAGGGGGTGAGCGTTTAAACAAGTTTAAAATACAATACAGTAGTAGAACACCACACAGTGATTATAAGATTTCATGGAAATGCGAAAAGTTAAAGTATTTACTATAAGAAATCTACTCTTTTTTTTCTTTTTTTTTTACTGGTAGTAAAGAGTAAAAAAATGAATGTATTAACAACGTATTAAAATATAAGACGTCCTACGAAAAGTTCTACTCTTTAATAATATATATACACCTGAAAGAAAAACGTTTCGTAAACGTTGCTTATTTTTGTGTGCGTTTTACAGACTCTAGTCTTTTATGTAGGCCTAGAGTTAGTTCATAAGCATCGCTGTTTTTGGTGGGAGTGCAAAACAAACTTAATAACACGATATAAATTGAAAACTTTGTATTTAGAAATTGAAAACTATAACAGTAGATTACAGAATCAGCAAAACAAACAAAAGAAACAACAACAAGCATAATAGCGTAGTGGAGTATAGAACTATGCCGTCAAATTTATCCTGCAACCATTTTTCTGGCATTCCCCCAACTTAGAAGATACACGGAGTGCACATATGGTAATAATTTACTTTAGTAATTTATAACATTAATCACTAAGGTTGCTGAGTGTTTATAGTGAAAAAATGAAAATTGTTTGAAATAATTCATGAGAACATGCCATGAAAAATTAAAAGAGTTTGTCAAGTAAACTTTAAACAGAAAGTCATTGAAAACCTGTTCATTCCCCTGATGACGCTCTTTACTACCAGTAAAAAACAAATTTCTCATGGAAAATGTTCAAACTTTTGATATTTGTATGAACTGATGTGATATACTACGCTATATTAATTGAAACTTCTTTATTTAGAAGTATGTTGCACAGTAACTAATGATAATAAAGTAAAAGTGATTGATGTTGGCTGGTTGCGTACGTGTAGATGGCGCAACGCTTTCTGCCTGCGCACTGTCATCCGTAATGCAATTTAGACGATACAGTTACCTGTTTGGTGGTAAGCCTCCTCTAGCGTGTACATACATAAATAAAATGTATTGAACTTGTATGGCAGTGATACACCAAGGTAAAGACGGAAGGAAGGAAGCGAGAAGCTTTAATTTTTTATACGACAACTAAGTAAGTTTAAAATAACTGAAATGCGATTTTCAAAAACGTCAAATATTTAAACAGTTTGCTTTACACACTCTGTTGTACGTCATAATCATGTTCTGGTGAGTGTCCTTGAAGCATCTGTAATCAAATTGTTTTTACAACCTTTTTATTTTCAAATAATACTCAAATTTCTGGCATTCAATCTCTGCTCAAACTTGTCACTCATAACTAGTAATAAAAGTGTCGATTCACACGTTACTCGAATATATCTTTTTTTTCAAATCGCTGTATATAAGCTAATATGGTTGAATGAGTTGTATGTTTCCCGGATATAATCATTAACCACACTTGGAAACGGATGTACTATTTTTTAGAAGGGTTATAATACTACGTGTAGTGTATTGCGCCAAAATTATAAAATCTCACGTCCTTTAATATACAACAAAAGACCCGACTACATTTTATTGAAATATAACAAACAATTTTCTTGCCACTGCAAAGCATATTTATAAGCGAACATCCTTTTAAATGTTGCACATTTTTACAAACTTAACTATAAAGGTAGGAAAACTAATAAATCACCGACGATGATTTGATATTATTTGTATTCAAAGTAAAAACACAAAAGTCTTTTCTCGAAACCTATAACATGTGCTAAGCATTTTTTCAATTAATTCTTATTATTTTTTAAAAATTTGTTTCAATTCTACTTTTGCATCACTCACATCTAAGAAAAGCTCCATTATCGCACGAGCATTCGATGACATGTCTGTGAAACACTAAATATTTGTCTTTCCTAAACTTTTTCATTTTATCTGCGAGGATCTGGCATGATCTGGTGGTTAGGGTACTCGACACACAATTTGCGGTTCGAGGGTTCGAATTCCCTTACCGAAACATGGTCCCCCCTTTCATCCATTGGATGTTGCAATTTGATGATCAATCCTACTATTTGTAAGTAAAGAGTATCCCAATAGTTATCAGTGGGGGGTATGGATTAGCTGCTTTCCGTTTAGTCTATTACTTCAAAAAAGTCTAACGGCCACGTATGTAGCCTCGAGTAGCTTTGCGCGAATATAAACAAACTATTTGCGAGGTGTCAGTATGTTAAGGCTGTTGATTAAACAATATTTTACCAAAAGCTAAAATAAGACAATGTCTACAATAAACAAAAATGGGGACATCGTATCTGTTTATGCCAAATGTTATCCTGTTGGCAGTTTCTAAGAGTTGTTTTGTAATCACGTGTCGATTTCCAATGTTTCAAATACATCATTATTCTAGGCTTTGCTTATTCGTACAGTAAAGTGAAAAGATTGAAATAAGCTTCTAAATGAAACCTTTAGACTTATGTTAGGAAATTCATCAACTTTTATCATAATAGCTGAAATATGCTTTTCTGTATTTATATTATTATAATTAGTTAAATTCGAACGACAGCAGCCGAGAACACGCTCTTAACACTTGTTTCCTGGTTAAGATATTGCTTTTGTTTAAATATTAAAAGAAGACTCAAATTTTGTGCTAAGTTTTCGTGATAGACAATAATGCTTTAGAATTTGTGTTTTAATAAGCCTGTGTATAATTAAGAAATATTCACCATATCGTGTGAGATAACGCGAATAAATTCAATATGAAATAAGTTATATTTTAAATGACTTTCCTTAATTTGAAATATATAGTATGAATAGACAACCTACACTATTATCATTTTTATCCATTTCGTTGTATGGTGAAACATACATTGTGCTAACCCTGATAAAATAAAATAAACCGGTTCATATGCGCTGGTAAAGGAAACCATATGTCATTATATGTTTTGTTTAGCCACATATCCCTGATGCTTTGGCATAAGGTTGCCAGAATGACGCAAACAACATATGACCAATCTATTGGTTTAGTGTTTGATCCTTTGTTCGGATTTTACTATAAATTATCTTACTCTGATGTAGACTCTCTATTTTCGACGAGTGGAGAGTAATTTGTTGAAAAAGCTAGAAAATCAGAAGCTCTGCTTGTTTCGCCAAGTTTTAAAGAATAAAAAAATGGCTATTGTTTATATTATTTTTATGTTTCTGGCAATCACTTCACTGTCAGGTAGGTCTGAACAATTTTCTATTACGGCAGAATTTTAGTTTTTTTTTTTTTTGGTCTTGGTTTGTTTGAATTTCGCTCAAAGCTACTCAAGGGCTATCTGCGCTAGTTGTCCCTAATTTAGCAGTGACAGACTAGAGGGAAGGCAGCTAATTAACACCATCCACCGCCAACTCTTGGGCTACTCTTTTACCAATAAATAGTGGGATTGACCGTCATATTATAACGCTCCCATGGCTGAAAGTGTGAGCATGTTTGGTAACGGGGATTGCAGATTGCGAGTCGAGTGCTCTGACCACCAGGCCATGCAGACCTCAGAATGTTGAATCTCTGATGTAAGGAAATGCTTAGTTTGTTGTCTTTATACCAGTAATATGACACAAATTAAAATTCTTTTAATTCAAGTAACACAGTGTCGTAGCAGTAAGCTTGAAGGCTTTTAATGCTAAAATCCGTGGTTCGATCCCTGCGTTGGGCACAACACATTTAGTTAATGGTGCTGCATTATGCTTAACAAAAAAACAAACAATTCATAGTTCAATATTTATGATTTATGAAATTTATCAAAACATTAAAAGATATGAACATATGCTAGAGTATTTTATCCCCCACGATGAATTGAAATTCGATGACGAGGAACCCACTTTGAGACTAATAATGGTTGGAGACGGCTTGAATGGGTTATGAAGAAAAACTTTAATATAAGTTTAACATAACAGCAAGTGTACAACGTTTCGACAAGGTTTTGGCCTGATGATGACAAAAACCTTGTCGAAACGTTGTACATTTGCTGTTATAATAAAGTTTTTCTTCACTACCCATTCAAGCCGTCTCCAACCATTAATAATCCCCCAGGAATTAAAAGAAATTTTGGTAATCCATTTGATTCATTAATAAAAAGAATCACGAACCAATTGTGTGCCTAATGCTGAGTCTTACAGACTTCAGATAGTCTCGCATGGAGACAAAACGTATTTTAAAAACCGAGAGAACATAAGGAGTTCAGACATTACTTATATAGGTATCATATACTTATGTGTTAAATTTGAAAACACACCGAGCGTTAGACAATTTAACCTAACGGAGGTCATGTGTTTTGAATGATAAAAATAATAAATTAATGGTAAATTTAGGTCAAATGCAAAGTTGTCAAAACAGAAGTATCCTAAATAATCAGGAGTCAAAATACTTGTAATTTTCACTAAACTGGGTGATCGTAAAATTAAAACTTATTCTAATAGAGTTGGGAACTATTAAACATGATCAAAGCATGAACTTTTATATATACAGAGTTACGAAACAGTAATTTGCCCCAAATATTATATTCAGTATTAAATTCAGGGGCGCCCGCAGAAAAAAAATTAGGGGAGTCAAGTAACTCAACTTTGAAAAATTATGAAATCGAAATAGTTTTCTTCTATGGAAGACTGGAAGTCGCCATTTTTCTGGCACGGAATGAATGAATATAAAACTGTATCAACGTATAACAATAAATAACATAGAAGAATAATTTTACATATCTAGTAATTGTTTTTCTTTTTGAAAATCCGGGGCGCCCATGATTAAATTGAAATAGTAGTGGTTAATTTTATTTTCTTGCTAATGATTAACATGCCCTTTCATAGTTTTGCCAATTTGTATTAGTTAGTTTTCAATGTATAATAGTTTAACCTGTATATCATTTTTTAAGACTTTGGGGCAAATTACTTTTATCTCACCCTGTATATACAACTGGGAAAGTAAAAAGCAATATTTGTAAAGTTCTAATAAAATGCACTTACTATATTTCAGTTTGCCACCCAGCCGGAGATGTCTTCCAGGGCTGTGACGACCAAGGGGAGGCCGAGAGGCTCAAAGAGTTAGTCCAGTGTAAGAAAAAGCAATATTCCGACTTTGATAAAATAGAAAGATTACTGGGGTCTGCCGCTGTGTCCAGAGATTTCTCCATAGTTTGCAAGTTTGTATCTTAATTTTTTATGATATTTTGTGAAAAACTATATGAGAGAAATTGAGCATTGAAGAGTAAGAAATATATATTATATGTTCTAAAAATGATGGCGTCGTATATACGGAGAAGAAACCAATTTGTAAATTTCATTTTCTATAACGTCGTAACCTAAGCTTTTGGTTACTTGTGATATATTTTTAAACTGTTGATTACCTGTGATATCTATTTAAGCTGTTGCTTACTTATGATATTTATTTGAGCTGTTGGTTACTTGTGATATTTTAAGCTGTTGCTTACTTATGATATGTATTTAAATTGTTGGTTACTTGTGATATTTATTTAAGCTGTTGGTTACTTATGATATGTATTTAAGTTGTTGGTTACTCGTGATATTTATTTAAGCTATTTATCTATTTATGTGTGTGTCTGCACAAATTAATGGGAGATTTTCAATGTCATTTTTTTCATAGCTATAAGAGTATCGAATGAGTTATTGTGACGGATTTACTATTATATATTTATTTTAGTATCGATGTTTGTTTAAGTTAAACTTATATTTAAAAATGTACATAACTTATACTGTTAAATCTGTATTGCGAAATTCCCGCCTATTCTATAAAATTGTAGAAAATTCTCGAGTGTAAGAATCAACAATATATGTGTGTACGTAAACATTGGTGTATTGTTTATATTGTTGCGTAAACTGAAATTCGCGCCTATAAATATAACCAACGTGACGTGCAAAAAAGACTATATACCAAGACAATTGATATACTATAAACCTCGGAAGCTATAATTGTCATTAACGCTTATTAATCGGGAATCTTCAGATATTTGACCAGGAACATTTATAAATTTCGAACTTTACAAACATTATATAACTTTAGCGGTGAAAAACTTGACCTGTAATCTGTGTGTGATCAACGAGCTAGCTCTCTGTCCAGTGAAATGCATATACATCGACTCAAAATTCATTCGTTCATCGTGAACCCACGATAACATATAAAGGAAGTTCTATACCAGAAAGAAGACTAAATATTGTTTGTAAGTTTGTAAATCTATTGTACATAGATCATTATTTAAATTAACTGTTATTGTAAATTAAATTATTGTTTGTATATTAAAACATATTTATATTAAAAAAGAAACTGTGTGTATCAATATTGTTGGCAAATATCGTAAACTGGATACATATCGGCATTTATTTAACTACTAAATCTAAATTATAAATTTAACTCAGTTTTAGCTTATTTGAAATTGTAATATGTAACAGTTATACTTAGACCAGAATCTTCGAGTTTATGTGTTGTATTGGAAACTACACAAACACATAAAACTATTCGGATAAATTTGGGATTAATGAATTGCTTGCTGTTTACTTTGTAAACTGTTATCCTTGTGAAAGATCCTTTTCGATTTCAAACAATTTACTGCAAGTTTAAAAAAGGATGAGTGTCTAAAATTTTTCATTTATTGTATTGTGTTTCGTGTTGATTTTGTTTAACATGTGATTAGGGTTAAGCGCTAATCGTTAATGTCTCAACAGGCGTGGATATTATTTGGCTTTGGTTTCTACTAACAAACGAAAAAGTGATATGTGTTAAGTACAAAGTACAATCTGAGTTAAAAACGAATATATTTGTAGTAGTGTAAAAACATATTTGATTAAAATGATGCGTTTACAAATATTTTCAGACTTTTAAATTCTTTTTCTTGATTTTCAAGTGACATCTCGGGTATTTTTATTAACAGCTAAAGCCTGCTGCTACTAATAAACCTGACTTTGTTATGTTCAACGAAACAAAAACTAAATATTGAGTTTCAGCACAACATTTAAAAAGCCTATAACACTGATAAAGGAGGTCCGTCATCATTTAATGTAAAATGTACGAAATGTGATTGTAGATTGCAGAAGTTTTGTAGTTATGCTTTGATTTAGTAAGTGTTGACAACAATGGAAGTTAAAACTCCAAAATGATATTAGCATGTTTTCAAATCCATCAGAAATCTATCATGATTTTTTTTTTTAGTTCCATGGAAAAAGATTCTAATTGCACAGATGACTATGCAACTTTGAAGTGCCTTCCAGAACAGCTGAAATATTCCTTTCAGTCTGCTGATGAAGCTTTAAAGAAAGCAGTAAACTACATGTGTGAGAACAACTATGCTAACCTGGCAAGTAAGTTCGCAAGTTTTCTATACTGCTGTAACGGGTTCTTTCATTGGAGGAGTTTTTCTTTTTAATTATTTGGTGAAAATAATGCCAAGTACAGGTCACTTACGATAACAAATTAACTTATTTCTTCCTTGACGTTGGCTACAAGCTAATTTCCTTTGTATAGAGTTGTAGTTCATAAATAAAGTTTTCACTTTCAGCAGAAATATACGCATTAAAGGTGCTACAACTAACTTACAAATATTCTTACCTGTACAATTTTACAGTTAAACAATCGAGTAACTAACAGTGATCTGAATACTTCACTAACTTGTAAATCACTGAACAAACTGACAACTACATACATAACTGAGTGACTGACACTCCATTAACTGGAAACTATCATTGATTCTTGTATTTATAATTTAACTTTCCTCCTAGACACTTCTTAAAGTTTCTCGATCACGTATATTGTCGAAGACTTTTCAAGTTCTACACATTAATTCTCATGGTAATCGTATTAGAAGATTATCTAACGAAACAAATCAGTCTGATAACGGAAGCCACAAAGTGGAAGTTGGAGCACCCCCAGTGGCCCAGCAGTAAGTCTACAGGCTTATGACGCTAAAAGTCGAGTTTTGATAACCGTGTTGTGCACAGCACAGATAATTCATTGTGTAGCTTTGTGATTAACAAGAACCAAACCAAACCTCGTAGCTTGTTTTTTTTTTTCTCTTATTTTGTATTCATGTATCCAGCAGGACATGAAAACAATGTCTTAGACACTCAAGGAAATTTCAGAACAATATATTTTCAAACTGTTACAGTTAGAATTAGCCAAATATTTGTTGATCTGTTAAGTTATTTTTTGCCCAGTACCTTTCTTTACGCTAGTAGTTAGATATCAGGCAAAGAAAGTCTTAAAAATCAACACAACATACATATTTTTTAAAGATGAACTAAAGTTTCTAGTACACGTATGATACCACTAAAGAGAAGGTTCTTAAATTATCATAAACATGTGATATGCACTAAGACGATTTCTCGAGCTGTCGTATGTTTAACAATTTACAAAATCGCCTTCGTTGTGTTTAAAAGAAAAAAAAACACACACACAAGCGGAAATTATTCAACAGTGATTCGTTTATCTTTAACCCGCCCCCAGAGGCACAGCGGTATGTTTGCGGACTTACAACGCTAGAATCCGGGTTTCGATACCGTGGTGGGCAGAGCACAGATAGCCCATTGTGTAGCTTTGTGCTTACTTACAAATAAAACAATAAACAATAAATATCTTTAACCCTCCATGACGTACTTATATCATAAATGAGCAAATGCAAATAAGATGAAAATATTCAATTGAAATTGTTTTTATTTTCGTTCTATTTACTAATTATTAAGAGGTATCGTGAGTACGTCTTCTTCCAAAGAAAAGAACTAATTTTTCAAAATTCTCGGTCCTTCGGTGGGTAAGCGATAAATTCCTGAAATGAAATGTGCAGATAGCCCAGTGTGGCTTTGAAACAAAACAAGCAAATAACATTCGAGAATTTCATTGGACATTTATTTGAATATATTTTTCGTTGTTATTTTTGACATGTCTTATTGTCATGGTTAACTATATATTAAGCTCCTGGTTTCACATCTGAATATTTATAGAATATATTTCGTTTGTTTGTTTGTAATTAAACACAAAGCTACACAATGGGCTGTCTGTGCTCTGTCCACCACGGGTATCGAAACCAGGATTCTAGCGTTTTAAGACCGCTGTGCCATTGGGGGGCAATAAATTTCGTTTATACGTGATTAAGATTGTGCATCTTTAACTAGATTGGGTCAAAGAAAAGAAAGAAAAAATTATGTAAAATCAGATATTGAATGCCTTCAGCTATCAAACAAATAATTTAATTAATTAACAATATTTCGTTGTTAGGCCTACACTAAGCAGTTATATTGATTGTAAACTGAAAAAGAACAAAAGGAATCCTTTATTACGTGGAACATTAAGGCGACAGAAGGACGCGACAATAATACTATAACAATACATCATTAAGGTTAATATAATTATAATAATAACGATAGAAAATTAAAACAAAACAGAACATATCGTTTTTAGTAATGTTATGTGTTAAATGAAAATAATAATAATAGAAATGATATTAGTTGAAAGATAATAGATTTTTATAGTTGTTAATAGATTGTATAATTTTTTAATCAAAAGTTTTGTTTCTTTACAAATGAATACGTACAGTGTAACCAAGTGGACTTTATTGTAGGTCAATCCTCATTGAAAATGAGAGTTTATCTATACAGACTGATATGCAAAGCTGGCATGCACTTGTACATATGAAAAATTAAATGTTTCTTTAATTTTTATTTTCTGGAAACGCTATTCTGGAGCAATCTGCGTTAACCGTCCCTAATTTTGAAGGGATAGACTAAGAGGAAAGTCAGTTTGTCAACACCGCCAACCGCCAAATCTTACGCTACTTTTTATACCAAGGAATAATAATAATAAAAGATAATGACACCCCTACGGGTGAAAGGGCGAGAATGTTCTATGAAAGAGTTCGATCTCGCTACCTGCAGATAGCGCTTCGAGCGCCTTATCCACCAGGCCATACGAGGCCGATCCGAAAGGAAGGACAATACGACACTTAGTGGTCTATATTTTCTTTTTTATTTTACAATATGACTGTTTTCCTGTTCTTTAACAATTCTTAAATATTGGTCGATAAACGAAGAGGAAGTAATAGTTTTGATGAAAACAATGTGAAATATAAAGTGGTTCTTCCTCCAATAATTTACGATCACGAAGATAGAGGGCGTGTGAGAAGAGAAATGTTAAAGAAAGTCATATATTTAGAAGTTTTATTATACACGATTTAGACGGAGTTTATCGTGATCCCAAACTACAAGTAAGTGTGACAACGTCTTTGACCAAACTCTAAAAAATAGAGCTAATAAAGCTTATTAAGATAATCAGTAATGTCCCCACCATGCAGGTTTAGTATGGAACCAAAAAGTTCTTAATATAGGAGTGTGTATGTAACATCATTAAACAGTCGGTCCGATGTATAATATCCAATAATGATTGGTTTGGTTTGTTACGAATTTCGCACAAAGCTATGCGAGGGCTATCTGCGCTAGCAGTCCCTAATTTAGCAGTGTAGGACTAGAGGGAAGGCAGCTAGTCATCACCACCCACCGCCAACTCTTGGACTACTCTTTTACCAACGAATAGTGGGATTGACCGTCACATTATAACGCCCCCACGGCTGAAAGAGCGAGCATGTGTGGTGTGACGGGGATTCGAATCTGCGACCCGCAGATTGCGAGTCGAGTGCCTTAACCACCTGGCCATGCCGGGCCTTCCAATAATGAATTCGATGAAATGTCATAACATTATTCACATACTTATTTTATATAACTATATGGTGAAGTAAAGCGGACCCAAACCCTCAATAGATATTAGTATAATAGTGTTTATGGTAAGCCAGTGGAGTGAATAAATTGGTTGAGCTGTATCATAAGTATGACTATTAATGCAGCTCATAGTTGGTCTAACTGGTTCCTTCGGTTTGTGGGTTTGGTGTGATGCATGAAGTCTATATGATCTTGATATTTTTGGAGCAAAAGTATTTTATAATGAATGTCTTGGATAATTTCTCCCTATCGTTTAAATTCCTTTCAGTTGTCTTGGTTGGATTTCTTTTTAGTTGCTTGTAACAAGGTTTGAAACTTTGTGTTCGTAATTGATCGTGTACACAATAACAGTAGCTCCTCCTTCATAAGAAGAAAGAGTAGCTATGTCCCTCTAAGGCACTTCTTTCATTTTTTGTGACATGATACTTAGTTTGTTGTTATACTTGGAAATTGTTTGTTTCACTTAAGTGATTAACTGTGTGGCATTATAGTGTTGTCATGAATTGTTCAGTTACATGTTGTATTTATGTCAAAAACAAGGTGTAGGAGAAAAGTTTAATCCCTTATTTAAAATAATAATGCCAATTAGATAACTGTTGAATAGAAAGGTTTGTAACGTTATTTTCGAGTCTTTGATTTTAGAACTATCTTGGACATTCTAAGTAAACAAAGTATATTAACAAAGAATGTCAAGAACTCCAAAAATCGTCACCATATTCCAATCTTCTACCCGAAACAAAAAGAACAGTGCAAAAGTGATAAATTCAAAAAAAGGTATGATCACTAAAGAAACAAAAGAATGTGCTTTGCGAGTTCAGGTCATTAAAAAATTATGGATTATGGGCTTAAGACCTTAGATTGTTGACATTAAATGTCTTTTAGTGTATTGGCTAGAATACCAGAAACCAGATAATATGGAAATGATATTATCCTGTTATTGCTTGAGAGCACAACATAATGCCAGATTTTTGTCAATGTAATGTTAGGCACAGCAGTCATATATTCATTTCAAAAAAGATGTTCAGTCGTTTCATCAATTATATATGAATAGATAATTGAAAGATTAACGTAAGAGGAAAATGCAACAATTAAGCCATAATGCCAGAACGATTACAAAGATAAATTTAACGTATGCTGTAAAAACCTTATGATGCCTATTTGCCTTTTTTAATGCTTTAATTATTTCTGATATTTACTCAACAGAGTTTATTGATGGTGGTGCACCCAGCTGTTATACCAAAGGCAATGGATCTAATTTCGCAGACGGTTGTTTTGAAGACCTAAATGCAGGAAGTATGTTTGGTAACCAGCTGTTTTGTGCGTAAGTCTCTTATTTCATAAAAACAAGTTTGTGTACGTATGCAGATTTTATTGTTCAGTCTTGCTAATTGCTAAACATTGATAAAATCAGAATTGGTTAAATTCCATTAAAATGGCAATCTTCAAAAAATTCGTTGAAAAATTAAAATAAAACATAACACGTCGTTTTCAGCGGTGGTATGTGTCAAATAAAAATATCAACGATAATAGAAGTAATATTATTTGCAAGATAACGAAAAATGTTTATGTTTTTCAATAACTTATATAATTTGTTAAATAAATTGTTCGTTCCTCTCCAAATTAAAACGATAATGTAACTAACTAAATGGACGTTAGTGGTAGTTACATGACTATATCCTCCACTTTGATGTAATGGTTAATAAACCCTCCATGTTGAAATTGGGTTTGATATGTTCTCTGTGTTGATATAGTCGTTGATACATATTACTATGTACTCATTTGGATATTGTCGATGATACATATTACTATGTCCTCGTTATACAATCCATGTTGATATATATTACTATATCTTCTATGTTGACGTAATCATTGACATTTATGATTATACCATTCATGTTGATATATATATATATTACTATACCCTTTATGTTGACATAATCGTTGATATACATTATAACCTCCACGTTGGATGGCCAGGTGGTTAGGGCGCTCGACTCACAATCTGCGGATCGCGAGTTCGAATCCCCGTCCTACCAAACATGCACGCCCTTTCAGCCGTGAAGGCGTTATAATATGACGGTCAATCCAAGAGTTGGCAGTAGGTGGTGATGACTCTAGCTGCCTTCCCTAGCCTTTCCCACCAGCCCCCCCCCCACCCACACACACACCCAGTGGCACAGCGGTATGTCTGCGGACTTACAACGCTAGAAATCGAGTTTCGGTACCCGTGGTGGGCAGAACACAGATAGCCCATTGTGCTTAATTGTGTTTGGCGTAGGGTATTTGGATGGCCTGGGAAAAAAATAGCTATTTTAAGCGTATACATCATTAAAATGTGGCTATTAATATTAATTGATTAATCATGTGCTTAAATTCTCAAAACGTATGTCAGTAGTGGACT